AATGCCAAAATATTTTGGCGTTCAATACGTACGTGACCAATGACCATTTATGCCATAATAACATTATTTTCTTATTTCCTCTCAAACCTCCTTCTAGAGGTGAGTGTGATATATACCACTAGCACACTCATATTCTTCCAAAAATGAATATGTATTCACAAATCACATATTGTCACATTCACATCATGAATAGATCATAATCATTTATATGTGCTTTACAAAATCTCATGTCAAATCGATGGCAAACATTACTTTCACAGAGTGAAGGATTATTTTGAGAATCCTTATTATTCTCATTGCCACAATGATGACGATTATAATTTCTCTTATTACCACATCCACATCCATTGATACCTTCACGATAATAATTTTGTCTTCTTTCAGACTTATTACATATTGCTACCACATTCTCTTAAGGGAATGGGAATGGAGCAAATTCAATGGGACGGGTTTCCACTTTTTGTGCTCACGATCATACATGACTTTGATCATGGCAAGACATAGAAATTTTACCACTTCGAGTGGTTATAATTTCTTACTAACTCCATTAGAGTTATAATCTAAATTTATTGTCTTTGCTTGTAATTAAAATCAAATTATAGAATAAAAGAAAAAAATACGGTAAAATACATACATTAAATTCAAAATTTAATCATGAAGGAAGTTATTGGAATAATTGACAATCATTATGCTCAATCCCAAAGCTTCTACTTAATTGGTTAGAGTCTCGTGCTGATAATGTGTTATAAAATAATGAAAAAGAATATTGCAAAGAAAGAGAGAGAATTCTTATTGGTTTTGGAATTAATTACAATGGAATAGAACCCTTCTATTTATAGGGAAAAAATGACTTAGCCACCAAATAACAAACCCTAAAATATAGACATTTACCTTAAATAGAATTCTATTTATAACATACAACATGTATTTATATGGCTCTAATTAAGTCATTTACAATAATTTATTAAGTTTTTCTAGTTGCTCATATAACGTGATATTTTCACTGCACACCAAAAAACAATAAGGGTCTATTTGAAAAGCCATCTGATAATTGGAATTGGTGTATTTATTAGGGTAGTAATTATACCGTTTAGTAATTATACAACATAGTAATTACGACGACCTATTTGTTTGTCATAACGTAGTTACAATGTAATTACAAGCATACTATTTGGTTGCACAAGTGTAATTACACAGTTAAATTAAATTTTAAATGAAATAATTATCAAAACTTAAAAGTTAATATAATAAATATATTCCTATAAATAAATTTTATAAGTATAAATGATATTAGATTTGGTATTTAAGATGAATATTTTTTCTTGAATATATATTAATTAATAATCATATATTTATAACTAATATTGTAAAAATAATTTATATATATATATTCCAAATTAACAATATTTAGTTTAATATCTATAAAAACTAAAAACATACATTTTATAAGAACATCATGAAATGTAATTTTATAAAATAAATTAATATTTACAAATATAATGTCAGAACATTTTTCAAATATTTGACAAAACTAATCTATCAATTCTAACTAAAAAATGAACAACATGCAATATAAAATAACAAGTCAATACTACTAAAACAAGTAAATTGAAACCATAAATATAACACAATTGCAAAATTCAATAAAATAAAATAGTTTAACATATGTCAAATTCCAACATAATAAGAATAAGTTCCATTACAACTTAAGATTAGGAAACATAATAAGTTTATAACCTCATTCAACAATGAAATTCTACTTTAATGGCATCGCTCATTATATGCCAAGTTTGTTAATGACTCATTATTTCTAATATTAGGAGGTGTAGTTTCAAAAATTAGAATAATAACGCAATTACACTAAATGAAGAAAATAAAACAAATAAGAAATAAACTATACGAGCAATTACATGGAATCACAAGAAGTAAAGGTAGAAAATAAAAGATAAATAATGTGCAAAGAAAAATATTTTAAAATTAAAAAAGAAATTTTAAAATAAAAAATAAAAATAAAAAGAAATTAAAATAATGGAAATAAAAAGTTATAAAAAAATAAATTAAAATAAAAATAAAAAGGAAAGAAATTAAAAAGTAACCTTGTAATTACACGGTGTAATTACCACCAATTTTCACCTCCCCTTAAGAGCATGTATGGAAAGCCACCTAGGATTTGGGTGTAATTACACAGTTTGGCATGTTTGTCTAGCCAAGTAATTACCTGGTCAACATTGAATTGAGTGTAATTGGAGAGATGTAATTACACTCTCCAATATTAATTTATTTTATCAAACATGCATTCCATAATGTTCTTACAAAATATATGTTTTTAGTTTTTATAATTAATTAAACTAAATATTATTATTTTGAAAAATATATATCAATTATTTTTACATATTAGTTATAAATATATGATTATTAATTATTGTATTTTCATGAAAAGATATGCATCTTTAATACTAAATCTAATTTCATTTATACTTATAAAAAATTATTTATAGTCATATATTTATTATTTTAACTTTTAAGATTTGATAATTACTTCACACTTGTTCAACCAAATAACACGCCTTGTAATTATACTGTCATTACGTTATGACAAACAAATAGGTCGTCGTAATTACTAGGCTGTGTAATTATTACCCTAATAATTACGTCAATTTCAATTATCGGGTGACTTTCCACACAGACCCTAAGAATTCGAAAGTTTAATTACACCTCTGCAATTATACCCAATTCCATGCTGTCCAAGTAATTACTTGACCAGACAAATATGCCAAAATGTGTAATTACACCCAATACTCAAATCTAATTCCTAAGTGGCTTTCCAAACACACTCTAACTTGAACATAGAAATACATGTTAATGCTTTCTACATTAAGTGATTTATAATAGTTGGAGCAAATCATAATTACCCTAGGGCTTGGACCAGAACTCTTAATTCCTCTAAAGATTAATTAACCAATCAAAAATGACATTATTGTCACAACCAGAGTTATGAGCCTTCAAAATATTGAGAGGGTCAGCTTGAGAAGCAAAAAAGTGTACTGAAAAAGAAAAAAAAAGAGTAGCAAAATGAAGCTCAAAAATTTATCCACCCTAGCCATTTAGTTTAGGAAGAAAGAGATGGAAGCTGATGTTTGAACTAAGATATTTGAGTTTGTTCAGTATGGATGTTCATGTTAGTTGCTGATACATGCAAATATATCGTACTAGTACTTTCTCACCATTTATTTTTCAAGAAGAATAAAGGGTTCGATGTAAAAAAAGTTAAAATTTCTAACTTCAGTCTTAATTCAGACATCAATTTTTATTCTTTTTCAAAACAAGATTTGCATTATTAGAAATTAGATAAAACTACTAGTATTTGCATTATATATATATATATATATATTTAGACCAGCCATGTTGTATGGGCTGAATGTTGGCTAGTTAAGAACTCACATGTCTAAAAGATGAAAGTAGCAGAGATGAGGATGTTGAGGTGGATGTGCGGGCACACTAAAATGGATAAGATTAGGAATGGAGATACTCGAGAGAAGGTGAATGTGGCCCCCATGGATGACAAGCTGCGGGAAGCAAGGCTCAGATGGTTCGGGCACGTTCAGAGGAGAAGCCAGATGTCCCTGTGAGGAGGTGTGAGCGGCTGGCTTTGATGGATACGAGAAGAGGTAGAGGGCGGCCTAAGAAGTTCTGGGGAGAGGTGATCAGACAGGACATGGCGTGACTTCAGATTACTGAGGACATGACCCCAGACAGGAATGTGGAGGTCGAGCATTAAGGTTGTAGGTTAGGAGGTAGTTGTGCATATTTCTACAGCGCACCAGAGTGAGGATAGTCTGTTGGGATTTAGTCTTAGACTGCTAGGGGTTAGTGTTGAGTTCACACTACTCTTTCCTTCCTCTTAGTGCCGAGCTTTATCTACTTGTTATTGTTTTGCTTTTCGTCTATTTTCTGGTTCTTGTGATGCTGTTATTTTTTCTATGATTTTTATTGATGGTATTGATATATTGTCTCTTTTCGTCTTCTTGAGCCGAGCTCTATCGGAAACAACCTCTCTATGTATACACTACTATTCTCAGACCCCACTAGTGAGATTTCACTGGGTCGTCGTCGTTGTATATATTATAATTAAAAAATATTTAAAGAATGTTTGGAAATTTTGTAGTCAAAGGAAAAAGTTGTTAACTCCTCAAATACTAATAGCGTCAAACAAAATAGAACGGAGGGCGTACCGCCTAATTTATAAATTGATTTTTGTTTAGCGATGATTAATAATTTTGACCAGGCAAAGGGCTGATGGCGACAAAATTACACTCATTCGAATCAATGAGTCACTAAAGTTAGGATTAATTGATTTGTCAAATTTTAGGAACTAGCTTCGAGTTTCTTGATTTTGAATAGAAGAAAAAAATAGAGGAAACTGAATGTAGCTTGGAAACTGGGAATTGAAGTAGCTGCTGACCGCCAGCATTTTTGGGGGAAAAAAAGATTTTACTGTTTATTCTACAACATGACTATGTGTCAAAATGATAATGGCAAAGATAGTAAGCAAAGAAGAACTAATCCAACGTAAAAATATTAAAAAATTAGTAATATTACTTGTTAAGATCAACCAGAACAAGTTAAAGAAGCTGATTTCCAGCTGAGTTATATTAAAGGATGCTATATTTGGAGAGTATTAAAGTTGAGCAGAATCAGACTCCAAAAAGGATTTAAGAAAAATTCTCAATAATGTTAGGATTAGTTGATTTGTCAAATCAATATGAGTCGTCAATAACTCGTTCACGCAAAAGACATTGGAGTTTAATGCACCCAAGCTGGCCTAGACACCATGGTTTCAATAAAATTTGAATCAATAGTATTCTTCCAGTACAGAGTAGTATTCTCCCAAATTCCAACCAAGAAAAAGAAAAAGATTACATATTTCAATCGCAGGTCAGACTCTATAAATAGAGATAAGCCCCAAGGTCCACATGTACAAAACCAAGAAATGGTATATATTAATAGCATATGCAGTGATAGTATCCATTATATATATATATATATNTCCATGGTTTAATCACGCCAACGACGATGATTGCAACAATAATGAGGAGGATAATGATGGCAAAGCACATCCATTTTCTGGAATTCCTTTGTAGTTTCTTCGCCTTTTGTAAAGCAGTATTCCCTGATTGCACATGGTCTACAGCAGTTGAAACCTGAAAATTCGGGTTGTTTGGAAATGAGGAAACATAAATGTAGCAGTCCCAAAGTGCCAATTCTTATTTTAAACAGGCTAGTAGAAGGGATAATACAAGGATAAAGAATTTCAGTACCTGTGATTCTATATTATCAAGCATGTCTCCTTGAGCATCAACCAGCACTGCTATGTCCAAGAATATCTGCGTAGCAGTATACAATAAAAAATTTAACCAGATATGTATTACTCATTTATCATGTCCCCATATATATATATATTCCTTTAATTGTCATGTTTCCAAATTGGTACCAGACTAGATGTGAATAAGGAAAGCATATACCTGTTGCAACTCAAGAAGCTTTCTCTCTAATTCTCTGACTGCATCATGGCGCTCTTGAATTTCAGCTAGAGTGCCCATTATCTGCAAGTCGCCAACAATGAGAACCAGTATACTATTAAATCACCAATCACTAAAATTTCAACTTACTAGCAAGATTACTAACGTACCTAAGCTTCTTTATCACACAATAGGCCAAAAGTTTGCATGTAATGTTATTTAATAGAACATGAAGAGAAAAAGAAATAAGGATCAGGTGATGGTGGTTCACTTTCATTGTATATTTCGGGCACTAGTTGTTACATTTCATCATACTTGGTCATTAGATCAAGATTGGCGGCCAAAAAATGATATGCACTGAAATAATAACATAAAACTCCAGAAAATCTTATCAATTTCAGTCACCAAAATAATAACCCTTTCCCACTATTATCTGCTGCCTCTATCACCAAGCGGCCAGAGCTAGTTCCCCTGCTATCTCCCCTCTTTTGAACATAATTCCAGTATGTTGCGTCATTCACTTTTTCGAGTGCTACACTACTCCAAGGGAAAGCCACTGATCAGTCATTAGCAGCTTGAGGATAAAAAAGATCTTTGTCAACTTGGCCTTATCCAGCTTAGGAATTTTTCAAATGGTGGTTTCCAGCAATGGAAAGCAGCTAAGACTTTCTTCTCTTATGTTTTTAGGGGAAGGGATGTGGCACTGACATTTGACAGAAAGGGAATATATAAAGGAATAAACACAACATAACATTAAACAAGAGCTGTTTGCAAGATGTTATGATGGTCACAAGATACTACAGTCACCTAACATGGGCCCCATAGAACCTCTGTCGTATCTGGAGCCTGAAGTATTAGCATCAGATCATCCAGAATAGTCATTTCCCACCGTTCATTCCATTTCTAGGAATTTGACGATCCCTATCAGACTTAAGAGGGTTGAAAGATGGATCATTCCAATGTCAATAAGCAGCTTCTGAGATGGTAAAAGAATGTTGCTGGAGTAAGGCATCACGGGCTTTATGTGATTCTGAGAAAACGTATTTAAACATAAAACAGCACTAAATGGCATAGGCTGGCCCAATTCCATGTTTAACAAAGCAGTGGAAAAGCCAACAGAAACTTAAGCTATTTACAAGCATGGACTTTTTAATCCCAGAGATAATAGCTTCAAGCATTAAGATATTGATCCTACGCGCTATGTGAATAGGTTACAACCTAATAATACTAGCGCATAAGGTAACAATACAAATTTTTTGAAAGGAAGAGATTGCAAAAACCATTGAGCAGGTTCATACCTGTCCTCGCCCTTGTTGCTGAATAGCTTTCTGGAATATTTGTTCACTATCCCCAGTCTCTATCAATCTATCAATTGTCTGAAGATGAAAATAGAGGGAAACAAGAAAAAGGGGGACAGTTAGAAGATATACGAAAAAGAATCTACGTTCTCAATAAGTAACAAGAACTACAAAGCTTTACTTCTTCATCAGCTCGATTACCCGTCACTGGCGACCACAAAAAGAGAAAGATACAAACAAAAAAAAAAGCAATTAGAATTTGTTTTGAAAACATTTAAAATCCATGCAGAAATTCAAACTCAGAAGTTTTTTGCACCTGTGAATACTCGCCTTTCAACAACCTCACGGTATTCATGGTGGATGTTTTCTCTTAAAGTCTGCAAACATTTTAATCAATTGAACCTAATAGCAAGTAAAACCTAGAGAAAAAGCCATTCTTAACGCAACTGACGTACCTGAAACTCGGCCATCTTATCTTTGAACTTCTTTTTCAAGGAACTGCGCATATATAACGAGTTAAGTGCATACCATAGGTATATCAAGATAAGTATTAAGAATGTGCAATAATGCAAGAGGGAAAGACTAAAGAGAACAATAAGGGCTTCACTTTAACTATTTCTCCCATATATTAAGCACTGACAAACTGGAAATTACTAACTGAATTGTTTCCACATGTGTGCATATAAGAACTAAGAGTAAAAGTTAAGATTTTAATACTTTAATGATTTGATAACAGGGAGTACTATAAGGAGGAAACACACTGTTTCTGTTTAACAGGGATTATAATCACCCATCCATAAATGAATTACTAAAAGGAGGAAATACACTGAAAATATTCTGCTGTCTACAATCAAGTTCAACAGAAACTATACATCCCCTAGCACAAACATTATTTACTCTCCTGATCAGTACAAAATTCAAGAATTCAAACTCTATTTACTATGAAAACATTAGTGTTTGGGACTGAGGCATAGCAGTTGTTGTTGTTGCTTGCCGCAGCATAGTGTCTACATACATCATAGCCAACCAATTTGAGCATCTCTTTAAAATAACTTTGTGATACCCATTCAACAATGTCAAAATAGTAACTGTATGACAATGAAGTAACTATCAGAGAAACAAAGGAGACAAAGTAGTCGACATTACACGGTTGTAGCTGTTCTTGATCTGTCAACAGCTGATCCTTTACCACATCCCGGCTTGTTTCTATTGGCTAGATTCTGCAAGAGAATGAACAATAGATTGAAACAGAGAGAAGATTAAAGGACCAAAAGTACAACATGTAAGAATTTAATGTTACTCACTTCTTTATCAAGTTCCTCAATTTTTAATTTGATTAATCGAGCTATTTTTCCGACTTCATCGACATCTTTTTCCATTCGCTGCTTAATTGCTGCAGGTTACAATTTTATCAATTAACAACTACCTACTTAAAAACAACAGCAAACACAATATGAAAACGAATAGCAAGAATCAAAGGAGAACGGACTTTCCCAAGCAAAGGGAAGATCTTACTCAGTGCAAAACTCCAATTTCAATTGTTATTTTATTCGCTACATTTGCAAAACCAAAAACAAACATTCAATAAACTGCACCTACTTGCTTCATAAACATCCTAAATTTAAGGACAGTAGCACTAATCCATTCCCAAATTGCTTTAGGGCATGCTCTCATCTTTTATCTGTACTCCTAATGTGTTTATTATTTGTAAAAAAAGGGAACAATATGGTCTCTGTGTTACATAAATTGGGATACATACTTATACAAAAGAACACACAAATTGGAATAGAGGGAGCATCTAGTTATCTTATGTCTTAATTCATTCTACTTTCTATTGTATGGTATATCAAGAATGACAGACCTCTTTCTACAAAATTGTGGAAGTCTACCTGCAGGATATCATAAGAACATATAATAATCTCACTACATAATACTGAACTCTGATGCATGTCTTTTTTCCTAAAGTAAAACCATTTTTGACATTTCAACTATCCTTTTGAAGAAAGTTTTTGATTCAACTTTGGTAACACATTGGGTGCTTCTTACTCCAATCAAGTTAAACTAGGTTCCATAAAAAGTTAGTGAGTATATATTACGAGTCCAGAATACCATAAAAATGCAAATCAATGGCGAAAGGATGGGTTACCTTTCATAGCAGCAGCTTTTGTAACAGCCTTTGATTCCTCATGAGCATCCTGTTAGAACATTCAGATCTTTAAGTATTTACATGTTTACCTGGTATTTAAAGAAACAAAAGATTATGCAGATCTTCCAACCTCATTTGGCTCATATATCTTCTGCTAAGTAACCTACATTGCGCCTACAGTTCTTAAAGTTACCACTTCAACCTCTATGTTAGTTGAAGTACACATATTGAGAGAGAATTATGAATTTTAGAGGGAATATATGGAAGAGCCTTCTAGTTATGTATAGGAACACGATTTATCTCTGGAAGCTAGGTTATGTTACGGAACAGCTAAAAGTCAAAATGCTCAGTCAACCAACAATCTTTTGGACACAGTGCTTTTCCTGACTTAGACACAGTGCTCTTAATAAATCTAAACACCAATGAACTGGTGGAAAAATGAAGTTGCAAAAGATGGCAACTACTATCTGATAAACCATGACATGGAATACATACCGTCAACAATATTAATTCTCAAACAGTAGAAGCTCGCCGGAATACTTGTCAAAGAAAAAGAAAAGGAAGCTCGTTGTAATCTTACTAAAAAACTGAGATACACAGGCTTATAAATTAGGTGGTCAATAGAAAGGAAGTTAATCATATAACACATTAGAGTTTTACTGGTTTTAGTATAAATATCCAAATCCAGAGAGAATACAAATATTTAAAATGTGACACCTTTGTGTGCTTGATTAGCACATCGAGGAATGCAAATTTTAAAACAAAATCTCTGCAAGTGAAAGTTGAACCTTGGAGCAGAAAGACGTTCAATTAAACCAAGAGCTTTCTACATCAAGTGGCGAATAAAAGAGGTTACATTAGAATTTTAAAGACCTCGAACACATATCTTATAACACACAACAAGAAACCAAACTCATAAAAGAAATACAGGCATGAGCTGCTCATCAAAGAATGATCAAGTTGTTAGAGATAGAAGCAGTGTCTCTGACACAAAAGTAAAAGAAAAAGGGAAAACGTGAAGTACTCAAATGCACTTTCGAGGAAATTAGGTGCCACTTCATTGCAGGGTTATATTTTGGCAATTGTACCTTTTAAAGAGAAAGACTGAAAGAAAAAAGGACAGAAATTTATACCTGAAGTTTCTGGAGTAGTCCGTTCAGTTTTTCATATTGTTTCTCAATTTGTTGAACCTAGCACACGAAGATAAGTGGGGCAAGAAATGGAGGAAGTGAGAAAGCTTCATGATATCAACTTCAAAATACCAGAGAAAGTAATTGAAGAAGGGGAGGGAGAGGGATAGTACAATCATGGTATTATTCTTCTAAAAAAAAGCAACAAGATTATTCATAAACCTTTTTAAAGAAATCATCGAGGCCTAGCTCCCCGGAATTCATTGCTCTTTGTGTTCCCATTTCAATATCTCCATTTCTATCATTTTGATGCCTAGGGGCCTCGAAAGTATCAAAATCATCCTACAAGAGAAATCAAGCTGTTATAATATGAGAAATGAAATTTTATATGTTTTTCAACAAGTGCATTACCAAAAGGATATAGATAATTATATTGAGTACTACATGCAGCAACATGCTTCAAGGATTATATCAAAGCCGACATGAGTGAATGAAGTTAAAAAACTAAGACCACTAAAAATAGCACTAAACATACTAAACTTTTGGAGAAGTTCAGTGACACAGACATTGAATATCCTCTGAAATCATCAGTAAAGAAACAAAAAAAGGAGTTCCCTAGGATAATCATTTTTTATATATAAATGGCAAAACAAAGGCTAATTAATTTTACATACATCTTTTTTTAATAAGAGTGGTGTCTGGGCCAGCTTGCGCACCTCACAATTCCACCAGGTACCTTAATTTTACATACGTCTTATACCACATGAAGAAAATCCAGGTTCAAGGACAGTTGGTCAATGACAAACTATACCCACAGCTATTAGAGTTTTACATACCACATTGAGAAGGAAAAGGATTTTCAGGTTGCCAGACCAAAAAGTTATGTAGAATATACCATTTATGAAGCGAAATTTTTGAACTATAAATCACATATCCAGTTATCAGCTCTTTGGTTCAAAGTTACAGCAAAAAGATGGATCTCATTAGTGAGTAGTGACACTCTTTCATCTATTATCATGGAGATAAGATAGTTATAATGACACCATATTAGCATTGGTTCCTTTTTATTTCAGCAAGACGTTTAACCGAGCACTCATTAGAGACCAAAATGCCAACCCAAATATTGCTACGAGGTGTAAAAACAGCTTATAGTTTGACAATTCTCGGGTCGAAAATGTGCCATGGAGATAGTTTGACAATTCTCGGGTCGAAAATGTGCCATGGAGAGGAGTCTACAGAGGATCAGGCAACTTTGCCTCCTAATATCTAATCTTACCAAGAAAATGTGTTAAAATATGTGCAGGGAAAAAGTATGGACACTTCTTTCACCTCCATAACAGGGAAACAATTGAGAATAGTGCTTCCGAAGGAGAAGATCATGCTAAGGCTAGAGTCATTTTCCCCCTCCATAAAAGGGACACGACAACATTCAGACATAATCATTGACAACGAAGCCTAAGAATCATTTCTCTTCCTTGTGCATTAAAATCCTTATAAGCAATGGAAATTCTAGGAAGTTGTTTTCCTTCACTTCTTCTATCCCTTACAGCATTAAGTTTAAAAGCCAACTTCATCGTAGTGGCAAAGAAAGGCCAAAGAATGTAGCTTTTTAACAATTGTCATGATCCAAATGTCATTTTGTACTGTCTTTTTCATTACAATTATTTACTACAGAAACCTTTTTCTTAATCAAATCAAGAAGAAGAACATGGTAAGTCTGAGTGATGACATACAAATATTTGACCATTTAAGCTATGAAAAGTGAAGCAAGGGAAAACACAAAAAGGTTCAAAATAAATTTTTGTCTTTTTTCCATTTCTTTGTCATTCTCAGCTGTTCATACAGATTTAAAAAATGGTAAATTGGGTATACTGGCAAATAAAATTTGATCCTTTTAAGCTAGGAAAGCATTGAAATCCAAGAAAAGGTTAACAGGTTTTGTTCTTTTCCCATTTCTCAGCTGCCAAAAGAATTAACAAGAAAAAGAGGTAAATTGGTTATAATGACCAATAAAACATGACCCTTTGAGCAATGAAAGTGAAACATGGAAAATCCATAAAGATTTAACAAGTTTTGTTCTTTTCCTATTTCTTTGTATTTATCAGCTTCCATATAAATTTTAAATTAAAAAAAGGGTAAAGTGGCTATCATGGCAACTAAAATTAGACTATTTGAGCAATAAAAGCAGTGAAAGATGAAAAAATCCAAAAGGGGTCGACAAGTTTTGTTCTTTTTCTCATTTCTTTGTATTTGTCAGCTCTCATACAGATCAAAAAAACAAATGGTAAAGTAGCTATCATGGCAACTAAAATTTGACCCCAATTCGAGGTCAGCATCGTCATAAAAAAATTGACCCTTTGACCAAAGAAAGAAGTGAAGAAAGGGAAAATCGAATAAGGGTCGAAAAAGATTCATTCTTTTCCCAATTCTTGAAATTTCTGAGCTGCCATATAGATCAAGAAAATGTAGATACAGAAAAAACAAGAGGGGTGTTAGGGGGAAATATGGAAAGCTTACATTTAAAAGGTCGTTCATTGTGGAGAAGAATGAGAGATCTTTTTGGTGCTCTCTCTCTCCTCCGTAGTTTTCTTCTCTATAAGTTTTGCTTTGAGAATTTTAAAGAGAGAGAGACAGTGATACGAAAGAATGTGCTTTGCTGTTGCAACAGCGTGTGAATATTCGGTGACAGAGCGTGAAGGGAGGTTTCTTTTCTTCAATTCAAACCTTCTTCTGTTACAATACTACTATTTTTAATAGAGTAGTAATAAATTCTATCGTTTCTTTTCTTCAAACAAGGACTTCTACAGTTCTGTTTCTCACTTTGAAGTTTGAACTTAAAAAAGCTAAAAGCTCACAATAGCCCACTAAGTTTGATGTTTCACCCAGAATTGTCTGATTACCCGAATTAAATTCTACTCAGTAATAGTTTAGCTGAATCGGTATAATTTTTATCAACATTTTGGTGTTATTTATCCCACATAAAGGTATCAAAAAGACAATTGTACTCTGTGATGCCCATGACACACGGCGGACTTATGAGAGTGGCGCAAGCAGGACTGAGTACATATTATTTCAGACGAATTCCACATTGAAATGGGAGTGAAATGTGAAAGAACTTAGCATGACATAAGTTCATATGGTACGCACGCTTTTGGGGCTCGATGTGATGTAGCCCAGAAGACAAATCCGTACGGGCTTAGGCCCAAAGCAAATGATACGTGTCATGGGCTTGGGTCGTGACAAATATGGTATCAGATCGAATCTCCCTCAATACGATGGTGGGACAAACCTCAGCGAGGACGCTAAGTCCCGAGATCAAGCAGAACGGGCGGGATTCTAGACTGAAAAACTTATGTCAAGCTTGGGTCGTGATATACCCCTCAAACCTTTTATGATCACCCATATACAAGGTTAAAATTTGAAAGAGAAAATTTATCTAAGTTTATTTAGCTTCAATCTAGTCCAAGGTTTAGATTATACATGGCATATCTCTTTTTTTATATATGAACCAAACAGTAGTACAAAATGACTTGAGGATCATTAATCTCAGTATATAATCCTAAAATTATATAATTTGCAAACCAAACAACCCCTTAATACATAAGGTGAAACATTAACACCCCCAGAGTTTTCAAAAGCGGTAACCATCAGTGCAATCCAACAAAATCCGGTAGGGGTGTTCATGTTTCGGTTTGAATCGATTTTTCCTTAAAAAGAAACCAAATCAAGTAAGTCGATTTTTCAAATATTAGAACCAAACCAAACCAATTAAGTCGGTTTTATCTCAATTCGGTTTATGTCGGTTTTTTGATTTTTTCGGTTATTGGTCGGTTTTTTCTTAAATATAAGACATACACTACCAAACACATATTTCAGCGACCACATTTTCAACGTAACACTATCAAATCAATTGCCCTTTGAGAAATCTATTATTTACCAAGATATATTGATGATAATTGAATCAAATAGTGATGAATAATTTAAGAACTCAATTAAAAATATATTATTTTTAACATGAATAGATTCTTACACTTAACAAAAGAAAACTACCAATCAAACTAGAATGTAAAGGTAAAGAACTGTACTAAAAATGCAAACGATTAACATTTACTATAAATTTTTTGAAACTTTGTATAAAAGTATACATATATATAGGTGTAATAAGGAATTTAAAATAGCTACTCCTATATTCGGTTTGGTTCGGTTTTTTTTTTTTGATTAAAACCAAAACCAAACCAAATTTAATCGGTTTTTAAATTTCAAAACCAAAACCAAATCAAACCAAAAAGTATCGGTTTTTTGGTCAGTTTGGTTTGATTTTCAGTTTGGTTCGATTTTTCGAATTTTTATGAACACTCCTAAAATCCGGTTATTCTTTGAGATAAAATTTAAATTTGTCTTTAAAGGGTTAGAGATAGTTGCGAAGAAAATGGCTTCCGCCCAAAGTGAAGAAAATCATTATCTTTTTTTGGTAAAAATATTGTCTTTGTAAAATATTTCCTAATAACCAAGCATCAAAAGTTGACTTATTATCTGAAAACAATACCGTAATACCGAATACACCCCTAGAAACCATTGATTTTCCGACAAATAATGGTGTAGAATATTTTATTTTAGTATACAATGAAAAGGAATGCCTTTTCTAATAAAAGGACTGTATGTGTTCCTGACAGCTGTTTGACCAAAAAGTTTTAAGTCGTTAAAAGTTGAATCCAAGTTAAAAGTAATAAATTACATATCCGAAGTTTAACAACTTTGGTGGTACGGGACCGTGTTCAAGTCAACTAATGTCAAGTTAGTGCTCGATGACTATCAATAAATGTGAGAATAAAAACATGCAATAAATGTGATAAATGACATTAAATGTAATAAGAAGGAATTTGTCACTCAAATGTTAAATAAGATGGATGATTCCTTCTTCTGACTACAGCGTGTGACAACAGACTATGAAAATGAACAAAGTGTCCTTGGATCTTGTGAACTAAAGGGGAATATTTTGTAATGGAATCCAACAGAGGAGACAAGACAAGCTTTTTGTATATTCTTGATGGTCAACCCTTTACAAGATGTTCTTCTTAAATGTCCCCAGCCCCCTCTTGTTTCCTCTCTCTTCCTATTTATAAAGGATATTCCTAGAAAACTCTAGAAAAGTATAATTTGGGGGAATATTTAATGGAATATTCCTATTCATAATCATAGGAATATTCGAACAGTTGCAGCTGTTTATTCTCTACTCGACCTCGGCACTGGTCTCTCTCTCTGAGCGACTCCTCGCCACTGGACCGAACTTGATTTCGACCTCGGCCTCAGCTCGTCTGTCATTAAGTTAGACCTAATTTTGACCCATACAGTTAGTCCCTTCGCTTATTGAGGTCGTCCTCTTGGGAGTCCTCGATGAGCGGATTTTATCTGTATCTAATCACAAGACATTTCGCCGTGGCGAACGAGCTGAATTGGTCGACGTCGCATTGATGACGGATCGGCTCAAAGGTTGTGGTTGGCGTGGCTAACATAGGGTGACGTCACGGCCACACGCGTTATCATTACGCATCTTCCCGATGCAATGTGTCGTTTCCAGTGCCTCTATTGCTTCGATTTTAGTGTCAATGACAGTTTCTTGCATCGATCTGTATCTTATAAATAGGGGAAGGGAGATTCAAAAATGAAACTTTTCGCATTTCATATTCCTTTGGCACTTTGCTTGTTCTTCTGCTTCTTCTCTAACCCTTGCTTCCGATTTCCTTCTGCTTTTCAGCTCTAGCTTACGGTTTCTTTTTCCGTTGATACTCTCGTTCCGAGTCTACTGTATACACGTTACTGCGGAAATGACAAACTCCCCTCACACTTCTGACATAGTTTCTGATGCCACCTCTCTATCGGTAGCCATGCCTTCCGGTAGCGGTGAACCCACGGTTGCGGAAGAAGAAAGTTTTCTTACCATGGAGGAGATTGTTCCTCGGAACCCGTCGGTCAGAAATGACTTCCCAAAAGAACTTGCCCCTGCGCCTGAGCAGGTACTATCAGTTATGGGGTCGAAATAATTATCTGACATGCGACCTAAATTCTGTATTCCTACTCACGTCGACATTGTTCCGGCGGGGAACGACACGATACAAATTCACCAGCCTGGGTATTGCGCTTTCTACGCCTACCCATTTTTAGTGGGTTAATCTCTTCCTCTTCCCCTACTAGCCGAGGAGTTCTGCTGCTTTTGTGGCGTCTGCCCGGCATCGCCAGCCCCTTACCTATATAAAGTCTTTTAGATGTTGGCGAAGTTCGCAGAGTTGGCCGGCTGCGAAGTCTCCATCCGTCATCTGCTGCATCTCTTCTCGCCTAGTTTATATCGAGGCACGCTGATTCATCTCCGCCACCATGGGACTAAAGGATTAGTGACGGGGATGGATGATAAGGCGAACCATCGGTTCTGGTGCAATTACTTCTTCGTCAGGATCAAGCACGTAGTGGCAGACCCAGCCGGGTTTTTCGAGCAGTGGAACTTCAATCGTAATGGTTTTTTATCATCTGTCATATATTTTGTTTACCCCCCCCCCCCC